AAGGTGTTCTATGTTCACTCAATATCCGGGGAAGGGTCACGTCTCAAGATATGCGATGTAGACATATAAGCATTAGTGTCTACTATCATGGCTTAAACCCGTAACATATGTCACAGGAAAATAACTTTATTGTTGCTCTCGTTCAGAATAACAAAAAGTAAATTAAAATAAAATAAAAATAAGCTTTAGACTGCTAGAAGACATGTGGTGAGTAGCGACTAGTGATGAGGAGGAGGCCAATATAAGCCCCCACGTAAACAAAAATTAAGTAGAGACATGCAGGAAGGTGCGGTAATGTTTGGCGCGGGGCACACCACTTAACGTACAGTGTCGTGTCTCTGCAACATACAACTATTCTGGTAACATGCGACAGTACTTCCCTCTCTTTAATTTGTTTTCTTCTACTGTCTCAATAGTATTTCTTTTGGATCGTTATCTCCCACCCTTTCCGCTAGATTCTTTTCTTTTCATTCAGTTACATAAATTATGGTACATTACAACCAGACAAAACATCATACTTACTAGAAAGTACTATGATCATACTCTGTCCCCTACCTTTATCCCTTGCTCTTTTCCCCTCCTAAAAAAAAAAGTTAGCATCTTGTTTGAATAGTTATTATGTATCGTTTGATAATATATCATATAGTATTATATTGTATTGTACTATACTGTTTTGATGCATATAATATTTGGATATATTATATATGTTGCTTGCGCTTGTTTTATGATGTCATGCACCAACAATATGAAGAATAAACTTGAAATATTATTAAGAGAAAATAAACTACGAGGTAGATTTATTATATAAAAAGATAGGATAAAAGATAAAGTATGATTATTTAATACTCCCTCCGTTTCATATTACATGAGTTACTTTCCTTTTTAGTCTGTTCCAAAACAAATGACACATTTCTAAATTTGAAAATAATTCAACTTTAAACTCTTCATTAGACCCATTTGACTTTAATGAGAAGCTTTTATAGTCACACAAATGTCATGACCCCACAAACCTTTTACCCATTAAGCTTTTAAGACCACAAGTTTCAAAAGTCTTCTTCTTTTTTTCTTAAACTCCGTGCCGAGTCAAACTACCTCATCTAATATGAAACGGAGGGAGTAATAAGGAAGGCAAGATAAGAGAAAAAATAAGGTAATGACACAACCACACCACTTCGGTTATTCCATAAAGTGATACTTTTTGTCGTTACGTAACAACTAATTTAACGATACGATATAATAAAAATTTAAGTAACAATCAAAACAAATATTATATTTAAAGTAACAACCGTCCAGACAAGATGTAAGAAAGTGAGCATACTTACATGATAAAAGCAAGGTCTGTGGCCCTTTGATTAAAAACTACCATAGTTGATCATAAGCTTAAGAATATCTATCTCAAGACTCTTGTAATAATGGTTCATTTGAAAGAGAGTGTTGGTTTCTTCTTTAACAACAGATGGCTCGTTTTTGTAGCTGCAATGTGGATTCAGACATGTGCAGGCATTGGATATTTATTTGGCAGCATTTCTCCAACGATTAAGAAGTCTCTGAATTATAATCAGAGGCAAATTGCGAGGTTGGGTGTAGCTAAAGATTTGGGTGATAGTGTTGGATTCTTGGCTGGTACTTTGTGTGAAATCTTGCCTTTGTGGGCTGCACTTCTTGTTGGTGCAATTCAAAACTTCATTGGCTATGGTTGGGTTTGGCTCATTGTCACTTCTCGTGCTCCTTCTTTGCCATTATGGGCTGTGAGTACCTCATCTTTTATCTTCATCTCATCTGTTTAATTCTGATTTCAGAAAGACCAAACTTTCTTTCTCAATTTCTAGTGGTTTTTAGTTGAAAAGGTAAAGGTGAAGGGGAGCCTTGGCGTAACTAGTAAAGTTGTTGCCATGTGACCAGGAGGTCACGGGTTCGAGCCGTGGAAACAGCCTCTTGCAGAAATGTAGGGTAAGGCTGCATACGATTGACTCTTGTGGTCTGGCCCTCCTCGAACCCCGCGCATAGAGGGAGCTTAGTGCACCAGACTGCCCTTTTTTAGTTGAAAAGGTCTACTCTGTTACTGTCCTTTCTATTATCTGTGGGTGTGGTAAATCCATTTATCGACTTCTTTATGGATTTAAGTTTTGTGCACTAACAGTATTAACTTTTTGCAGCATCCGGTAAATATGACTTGCAACACTAGGTAACTCTTCATATCAAGTTTAATATAGTAACCTGGAAACTAGAGTGATAATCTGCTAAATTGCACGATAGTAAGAAGATTTTTTTTATACCGTCTGTGTACAAAACTTAAATCCATTCTTTATTAGTCTACTATAACCTATTTTGGATCAGTGGAAACAGCTTCTTGCAAAAATGCAGGTAAGGTTGTGTACAATAGACCCTTATGGTCCGAACCTTCCCCGCCCGCGCATAGCGGGAACTTAGTGCATCGGGCTGCCGTTTTATAGCCTATTTTGGATGCTATGCATTGAATTTATGGGCCAAGAAGGTATAAGGTTGCACAGCTGTTTAACTGAGTGACAAATTTTGATTAATGAAAATCCCCTTGGGAGTGTTTTTTTCCTTTAATTCCGTAGTCATGTTTTCTTTTGCATCAATTAACTATAGAAAGTATACCATATCTTGATATTTATCCAATTTTCTTCATCTGACGAGAACTATGCTTATTTTCTTGTTTATCAACAATCTTTAGAATGTAAGAAGATTTTTATTTGATCTACTGAATATGCTTCTCTTGGAATGTTTGATCATTCATTTGGAGATGTTCAGTTACTATTCTATACCAAACTCACTTATTTACAAACCATGTTGATCATGCAAGTGTTTTGTACTACTAGTTTGATCAAACAATTGACATAGTTTTAGCTGCTTCTTTCCAGATGTGTATTCTTATATTTATCGGAACAAATGGCGAGACCTACTTCAACACAGCAGCTCTGGTGTCATGTGTGCAAAATTTCCCTAAAAGTCGCGGCCCTGTGGTGGGGATACTTAAGGGATTTGCTGGTTTGGGTGGTGCAATTTTGACACAGATATATGCAGTGATCCATTCTCCAAATCATGCTTCACTTATATTTATGATAGCTGTTGGACCAGCAATGGTAATTATCGCGCTCATGTTTATAATCAGGCCTGTTGGAGGCCACAAACAAGTCAGGCCTTCGGATGGTTTAAGTTTTTCATTCATTTACAGCATATGCCTCCTCTTAGCTTCTTACTTGATGGGAGTTATGCTTGTTGAAGACCTCATTGATTTAAGCCACACTGTCATTACAATCTTCACGGCTATATTGTTTATCCTCTTGGCAATTCCTATCGTGATCCCTATCTCCTTGAGTTTTTTTCAAGAGCAAAGAGAACCAGTAGAAGAGGGTCTTCTATCCGAGTCAAAGAAACAAGAAACTGGCAAATCTGAGTATGTTGATGGTCATGAAATTATATTTAGTGAAGTGGAAGACGAGAAGCCTAAGGAAGTAGACGCGCTTCCAGCTTCAGAAAGGCAAAAAAGAATCGCGCAACTACAAGCAAAACTAGCCCAAGCAGCTGCGAAAGGAGCAGTGAGGATCAAAAGAAAAAGGGGTCCTCATAGGGGAGAGGACTTCACGTTAATGCAGGCTTTAATAAAGGCAGATTTTTGGCTTATGTTTTTCTCACTACTTTTTGGTTCGGGATCTGGTTTGACTGTGATCGATAACTTGGGCCAGATAAGCCAATCTTTAGGATATGATAACACACATGTATTTGTTTCCATGATCAGCATATGGAACTTCCTCGGCCGGATTGGAGGTGGATACTTTTCTGAAATTATAGTCAGGTATGCAGCAGCGAAGCCATGATTTTCATTAAGGGTTGTCAAAATTTTAAAAAGTGTTAATATACGAAGAAGTCAAGGGGATTCAACGCATAGTATATATACATAAAAACATAAACTTTTACCTATCTAAATAATTTAATTTTCCGATGAAGGGGTGTCAATTTTGACATTCCTCGGAGCTATGTGTCTCCGCCATTGGGTAATGACATTCACTTCTTACTTGTCGTGGCATTAACAGAAGTTTACATGAATGTTCAATTCTAAGAAAAGTTTTCTCGTATAACATTTTTCTTTTTACGACAGGGATTATGCCTATCCGAGACATGCAGCAATGGCTGTTGCTCAAGTCATAATGGCCATTGGACATTTCTTCTTTGCTATGGGTTGGCCTGGAGCTATGCACATTGGTACTCTTTTGGTTGGGCTTGGTTATGGGGCTCATTGGGCGATCGTGCCAGCTGCAGCTTCTGAATTGTTTGGCTTGAGAAATTTTGGGGCTTTATACAATTTCCTTACTCTTGCAAATCCTGCTGGTTCAATGGTATTCTCTGGTGTTATTGCTAGTAGTATATATGATATGGAAGCGGCAAAGCAAGCTCATGAGTATCGCGGCACTGAATCAAATTTGGCATCAGTTTTGTCTAGCTTTCTTTCTGTAGATGAACCTCTAAAGTGTGAAGGTGCTATATGCTTCTTCCTTACTTCCATGACAATGTCTGGACTCTGCATTATTGCAGTTGTTCTAAGCATGATTCTGGTGCACCGAACAAAGGTTGTATATGCTCATCTGTATGAAAAATCTCGTGGATAATTCATTCATCGCGTGAAACAGGGGTAGAAATTTGAATTTTCAGAAGACACACGTTCAATGAACTTATGCTTCCGAGACCATTTCAGGGAGGTGAAACTGCAAGCCAACACTATTAGCACACAGGCATATTTTTGTGTTCCAGTCCCTTGTATTGACCACATTACTGTACTAGCTTGCTGAAAAAATGAGTTCTAGAAAAACTTAAGTCTCCTGTTATCCACATTGAAGTAGTTTAACTCTGCTTGAGGGCACCTAGAAATATCATTGTCTTTATGACTTTTCTCAGTTGGGTGTCTTGCATTTGAAGGGAATTTAGCCCTAGACAGAAAGGAAATTAGATTTATACAGCCAATTTTGTAAAGGAGTCAAGAATCAGGATTAGACATTTCACTCTGTATTTATGCAACCTGTCACAATGTCTCATGCTTTGAGTAATGCAAAATTTACAAACAAAAGACATCAATGGCAGAAGCACAATGTAGAAATGTGGCCTACATATGTTCCCAAGTGAATGCTAACAAATAACCAAAATGACAACAGAATTGTTAAACATCAAAAGACCAATATCAGCAAGTAGGACTGGCATTGTCCTCAGAGGATTCAGCAGCAGCAGAAGCAAGTATCAACTGAGGCTGAAGGATGACGCCCTCTCGTCGTGCCTTTCTGCGTTCACGCTGTAATCTGAAGGACTCTCTCTTTCGGTTTCTGTAACTGTTGGGGTTTTCAGGTTGCACCTCACGTGGATAAACACTTATCTGCACATTTATTCACATTCAGTACCTGTTAATCACACTGGCGTGACCGCAAATACAAGCACTAAGCAAGAGAACTCAACCTTTTTTCTATCAGGCCCAAACTTCTCAAATTTGACTAGTCCATCAATCAAAGAAAAGATTGTGTGATCCTTGCCAAGTCCAACGTTCTTTCCTGGGTGAAACTGGAAGCATTACCAAGAGGACAATTAGTAAATCATCAAGAAAACAGAATACAGGGCAATGCTAGATGGAGTACTACTACTTTTGAACTATCTTAAATCAAACAAGCCAACTATAATGGGGGCAATTCTGAGCAGAAAATAATTACCAATCATTGGCACTAGCCCCTCTATTACCTAATTGATAGATATAAACATAGCCAAAACTAATTTATGCAGCTCAGCAGCATCTTATTATCAGAAAGTCGCACCTTTGGTAAAAGAAGAACAACTCAATTCAGCAATTATATACAAGTGTGGAGCCTTGAAATACCAAAAGATTCACATATTGGATTCGGAGAAATGTTTATGAGCCGTAGCTAATTACACCTCCTTCTGTCATTTGTTCCAGAAAACTCCCAATTTTATGTTTTCGTGTAAGGTCAGATACTCAGATATATCAGAGCTCAGAACCTTAAACTAATAGCAATTTATTCTTCAATTGACAACAGCAAAAAACGTGTCCAGTTAACCTTCCAATACCTCATTTTGTAGTCAATTTGTCGGCCCTTAGGCAATCCACAGATTTCCAAAAAATAAAATTTAAATCAAATGCTAAAAGTCAGAACAATGGAATAAGGAAATTGACAGGACATCAGAACTTAACAGGCACATGTATGGTTGTGAGACATTGGGCAACAAAACTGAATTACATTGAAACATACTCCACTTGAACCAGTCCATCTGAATTCATTTCAATCACCATTAAACAACAAAAGGAACCGTTGAGTGTCCCACATTGGAGGAGAAAATGGGTTGTTGTCTCGTTATATGGTTTTGGGCAATCCTCACCCTTTGAGCTAGTTTTTAGGGTTAAGTTAGTCCCAAAATCTATTTTTGAACAGAAACTATCACAACTTCCAGAACACCATTCATAAGAAAGACATAAGCGTTCTTCCCTGCAAATCCCTAGCTGCAAAAGAAGGAATTGAGTTACAGATGACTATTTGTTCATCATTCACCTACTAGCTTATTATGTGCACCTAGACATCAGTTACTTGTGTCTTTTACGGACTTCATTAAAGAGTTAGCTCATGCAGGCTTGACATCACGATTGATTGCAAAAGGGAGACCATCCTCATGCCAAAAATATAGCATTTTGGAGACACTAGCTGAGGCTATGACTCATTTTGTGCACATCATGTATAAAAAAGATACAAAGATATCATCCTTTCAAATTCATGGAAGGAGAAACACAAAAAAGATAAAAAGAGATATTCATATCTATAGGTAGAAACAACATATGTCCAGCAAGACAAACCTAAAAATGAAAGAAGAAATTTGTCCAAGAATGACAAACGGTGATTCTTTACACACTCGGTTATTTCCTCTTTTCAGATGATATATATTGTTCCGAACATGGAGGGATTATGTTACAGTCTCACATTGGTGTGGCATGGGATTATTTGACTCCTTATATAGTCCTAGGCAATCCTCAACTCATGAGCCATTAAGCCCAAGGTTCATCGCTTATCAGATTCAGATCCTGACACTGTGCTTTGTAACCATGTCTCTAATCCTCTGAGCAACAAGCCCCGCCCGGTTTCTTTGAATTCTAGAACGTTGGACCAGGGGCAGAGCTAGAAGCCCGGCCGCGGTAGCTTTTCTCAAACAATGTAGTTTTTTTAAGAAATTCCTTAAATATGTGCCAATATTAAATTTTAAAACCCAATTATAAGCACTTAAAGTCTGTCGTTCTAAAATCCAGAATGCATATAGTTAAAATCCTTTTCCGCCTCTGCATTGGACTACTACCCCATTCTTATATCTCCTAAATTTATTCCACAATTGTATTTCGATTCTTTTTTAAGCACGAAGAATGGGTGATTTTAAAGTCTGAATAACCCGACAGAGTTGTGAAAATACATACAAAAATATGAACTTTTAGCAAAAATTGGCAGAAAATAGAGGAAACCCATAATAAAGAAGTAAAATCAAGACCTTAGTACCACGCTGGCGAACGATAATAGAACCGGGCTTTGCAACTTGGTCACCAAAAATCTTGACACCAAGTCTCTGACCAGGAGAATCTCGACCGTTCTTAGTGCTACCAGCTCCTTTCTTGTGAGCAGACTCAATTGTCAACGGAGATTTCAACGGAAAGGAGACCGAGAATTTTGGAGCGACGGGAAAAGCAGCACCACAGTCACCTTTAAGGAAAGAAGAGGAAGAAGATAAGGAGAGTCCTTTGAATGCTCCAACTAAACTGAAACTCACTGCCATTTTTACACGCTGCAAAAGGAAAAACAACAAATGAAGATAAAATTAGTGGAGGTTGAGGATTGGGCTTTGGGGGGT